ATTGAAGCACAAACAAAACTTTACTAACAAAAACAACAAATGATCTGAATTTTGCGTTTCTCCTCTCATTTTCATATCTTATTTTATTTAAATTAAAGTCGTATTTGGAAGCAGGAGCCATGATACGAGAAGATATAAGTGACGCGAACGTAATATTTGGTGTAAAACAAGTTCCGATCGATGCTCTCATTCCCGGCAAGACTTATTGCTTTTTCTCGCACACAATCAAAGCGCAAGAGTCAAATATGCCCCTATTGGATGCAATTTTGGAAAAAAATATTCGACTCATCGACTATGAAAGAATTGTCGATGAATCGGGACATAGAATGGTTGCATTTGGAAGATATGCCGGCGTTGCTGGAATGATAAACATACTTCATGGAATCGGATTGCGCTTATTGGCGTTGGGACATCATACACCATTTTTGGTAAAAAAAAAAATTAAAAATATTACGAGACTTTTGAATCAAACTCATTTACAAATTTGTAACCATAAAAGCATATTGGACCGCCTCATAATTATCGAAATTCATCGATGGCTCGTCAAGCTGTACGTGATTGTGGTTATGAAATTGCGTTGGGTTTAATGCCCAAGTCGATTGGACCACTTACATTCGTTTTCACCGGGTCAGGCAATGTATCACAAGGCGCTCAAGAAATTTTCCAAGACTTACCTATTGAATACGTTGCTCCCGAGACGCTGAGAAAAGTTGCAGAACACGGAAGTATGAAATTTAATAGCATTCGTTTTATTGGGTATTATCTAAATAAATTTCCATTTTATTAAGATCAAAACAAGATTTATGGATGTGAAGTAAGTCGATCGGATCATCTGGAACGTAGAGAGGATGGTGGTTTTGATCCCCAAGAGTATATTGAGTTTCCAGAACGTTATATTTCAACATTTTCAAAGAAAATAGCACCGTACGCTTCGGTTATTGTAAATGGCATTTATTGGGCCGTAGGAAGTCCAAAACTATTGACAATTCCAGATGCAAAAACATTATTAAGACCGGCAAACACTCCATGGCTCCCATACAGCCGAGGTGCGCCTCCTCTTCCTCATCGAATGTTAGCAATTTGTGACATATCGGCAGATCCGGGCGGTTCGATCGAATTCATGAATGAATGCACAAACATCGATACACCATTCTGTTTGTACGATGCCGATCGTAATAAAGACACAAAGAGCTTTAAAGGACCCGGAGTTCTTGTGTGTTCAATAGGTAATAAATAAAAAACCTAAAAACGTGACGAAATAAATTCAATAATTTCCATTGATCATTTAGATAATATGCCCACACAATTGCCGTTAGAATCTACGGATCTTTTTGGGGACTTATTATTGCCGTATACTTCGGATATTCTACAAAGCGATGCCACAAAACCACTTGAAAGTCATAGCTTCAGCATTCCAATTCATTCGGTAATTTATGTTTCATTATTAAATACATTGAATGCTCTATGCGAACAAAGTTATATTTTAATTGGAATTAATGACATTTTTGGCTATAAAATTGTTGCTCCGAAAACATGTTTTAATGATCATTTACTCTTTTTTTACGACGCAAACGTTACAGAGCATCGTTGCAAGTAATGGCAAATTGACAGATAATTTTGAGTATATTGCTGAACTTAGAGAAGCATCTGTGTAAGTTTTATTTATTTATTTATATGTTTTTTCATTAACAAAAAATAGTAAATCATTTCTCTTCTCTGTTTGTAAACATTTTGTATTATTTTGCATATTTGTTGTTTTTAGTCGCAGTCGCCATAATAGCGATTCAAGTTCATTGGATGGACGTAAACGAGTGCTTGTTTTGGGAGCTGGTATGGTATCAGAGCCGCTTGTCGAATACTTATGCCGTGATGAAAAGGTCTCCATCAATATTTGTTCGCAATTCAAAGACGAAGCTGATACGCTGGCGAATAAATTTCCGGGAGTGAAAAGTACTTACTTATCGGTCACCGAAAATCCCAATCATTTGGCTGAATTGTGTAGTCAAAGCGATGTTGTCGTCTCATTGCTTCCATATGCTCTGCATGGAATCGTTGCTGAAAAATGTATTGAAGTGAAAACAAACATGGTAACTGCGAGCTATATTACAGATCATGTTCGCTCATTACACAAAGCCGCCACCGATGCTGGTGTGACTATTTTAAATGAAGTCGGCTTAGATCCTGGCATTGATCATTTCTTGGTATGCATACCTCTTTTCATCGATCCCTCGAATTTCTTTTTATTTTCTTATTTTCAATTTGAATTAGGCTCTTGAATTAATCAAAGATGTCCATGAAAAAGGCGGTTCAATTGAATCTTTGATTAGCTATTGCGGTGGATTGCCAGCACCGGAAAGTTCGAATAATCCATTACGTTATAAATTCTCTTGGTCCCCACGGGGCGTTTTGGCAAACACACTATCGCCAGCAAAATATTTGAATCGCGGACAAATCGTGGAAATCTTAGGTGGTGGTGACCTAATGTCTGCACCGAAAGATTTAAATTTCTTGCCTGGATTTGCATTGGAAGGTTTCCCGAACAGAGATTCGACAAAGTACGGTGAGTTGTATGGCTTGGGACCCAATGTCTGCACATTGTTGCGTGGAACAATTCGCTACAAAGGCTTTTCGGAATGCATTCAAGCCATTCAAACTCTTGGACTCATAGACACTGAACCTCATCCGATGTTGCACCCGAATGGACCGGATATTACATGGGTAAGCTTTATAAGCTTTAGAAAATTGCTTTTCTAATGTTTTTGGTATATTTTTTGCTCAAAAATTAGCGTCAGCTCATTGTAAATATGTTGGGTTTAACCGATCCCAGTATGTTCTATGAAAATCTGAAACAACGGCTTGGTGAACGAGTTCCAATTGAGTATGTTGATGATATTGAACAATTAGGTATGCATACTTCTTTTCATCGATCTCTGGATGTTTTTTTTATTTGTTTTCAATTTGAATTAGGTTTGTTGGACGAAACTCCGGTCGTAAAATTGAATACACCAATCGATACACTCAGCAATTATCTTAGCAAGCGATTAGCTTTCGGTAAGTTGATATTGATAAATCATATAAACTACACGCCACTGCATGTACGCTCATTTTCAATAAGATCTAGCACATTTTACGTGTTGCCTTTTGCACGTATTCGCAATGTATTATCAAAGTGGACAGAAATGTGATAGGGAAAATGAGAATTAAATACTTGAATACAATCATTAAAATCCAGAAATATTCCAACTTATTTTCAATCGTAATATCATTCCAGATGATAACGAACGTGACTTGGTAATTTTGCGTCATGAGTTCATTGTTCGTTGGCCGGATCAAACGCGTGAGCAGAAAGGTATCGATTTTGTTGTCTACGGCACGCCAAAAAATCAAAACGGAAACTCCGCCATGGCTCTAACAGTGGGATATCCCACTGCGATTGCCACAAAGATGTAAGAATAACCAAATCGGAAAGTAAACGATATTAAAAATAATACATTTCTGTTTTTCCCCTCTTAAGGATACTCGATGGTGAAATTCAAGAGCGTGGAGTCGTTTTGCCATTCGCTCCCGACGTGTTTATGCCAATGTTGTCGCGACTTCGAGCCGAAGGCTTTACATCGAATCACTCATCGCGTATATTAAATTGAGATAGCACTTCTTTTAATATATGAACAAAACAGGCCTATTTCATTAAATCTTCAACATTCTCATTTGAGTTTATCATTATCTTGTTGATTTTTGCTATTTTTGACCGTAATTTATTTACAATATTTTAAAATAAAGATTAAATGAAACAATAAATAGCCGTTTATTCCTGTAAATGATACCAAGATATTATTTATGTATACATATAAATGGGCATAATCGGTCCAAATGAAGGGAGCAGGGGGAGTCCATCGTCGTAGAAAAAGTTGATTGCGTTTTTTTTTTTCAAATTTCAACAATTCTCGATGGGGAGGTATAAGCTTTTAGGGAGGGTTATCCGGGTCTATCATATAACCCCTTTTATGTGATAGTGCATACAATTTTTTGTCTCGTGTTGCATTACTGAATATCGATGTGTCCGCGTAATTAATTTAGTCATACAAAGCTATAGCTTTGAACTTGACATCAAGGAACGCTACAAATTTCAATTAGTCACAACTCGCTTTTTATACATATATTTCTGTCTCTCCCTCTCTCTCTGCATATAATTAGAACTGCTATTAAAAGTGTATATCCGACTATTGGACGGTAGTTGAGATTTTTTGAATGCAAACCGAAGCAACTGAAAAAAAAATCACATCACTTATTCGGAATAAAGTGTTCCGGAATATAGGTTCGTATGGATTCTCCGATAATATTGTAATTGATAACACATTCATTCAACTACTCCACACAATCACCCAATAAATATGACACCAACTACAACTGTGTGTACACACAAATCGACCGACCGAACAATGAAATAATTAAACAGCTGTTCGTTGTGTGCTTGCGATGGATGTTTGTCGTTACAGTGACGATTATTTGTTTCATATAGTTTTGTTAAACGTTAAACGAAAATGTGTAGCAAATAAATTTTATTATCAGCATAACGATTGAATTGAAAAGGCGAAACGCAACCGACTGAATATGTATGGGTGTACAATATGTCGCATTGTGATACGTCGCAAGCGGCAGTGACAATTCATGACACTCAATGAATGCTCGGAAACGTTTCATCACTTGGAAATAAACAGCGTTGGAGAGCACCAGTGCAAGCGAGCATATTTTTCGAGAATAGTACACAATTTTTTTCTTCTTCTTTTTTTTTCATTCGAAATTGTATTGTAAGATAGTGTCGTCGCGGTACTTTTACTGTTGTTTTATGCTGCTGACATAAACATCCTTGTTAATTTTTCATCGGATAATTCATATTCATTTAAATCGACAATCAGGCGGTTAAAAAATGAATTCATGGAGTTGAGTGTAAATCACAAATGTGATGTGTGTGTGTGTGTTTTTTTTAACTTGAAATAAAATAAGTTGAGACCTTCGCATAATTGTTTGTGTTCATAGCTGTAATTCAAGTTTGTGTGAAATCAGAACAAAAAGCTAAAACAAAACGTAGAAATTATACAAGCTTGTGCAGTGAAACAAAACGAGCAAGATAAACGAAAATGCCCAAATACACTTATTTGCGAGAAGAACATCGAAGGGGTTTCGATAACTATAAGGTACAAAATAATAGCTGTAATTAGATAACAACGATAAATATAGTGTTTGTTTCTTTGTAAAAAATTGTTTGGTGTCGTGCTAAAGATGTTCAACGCTAATTATCTTAATATTATTAACGCACTATCATTAAAAGTGCCACTTTATCAATATTTACAACAACAAATAACAGTCAGACTGGTTCGTTTGTTTCATTTTGGATTGTGATTGTGAACAACAAACAAAATGAATATTTTGACCAAAGAAAAACTAAACAATTTGCTTCTTTCAATGGAATTGTGCTATCACCATGTTGAAATATTTTATGTTTAATTTGCAAGTTTTTAAACATGTGTTCATACGATTGTAATAGACAGAATAAAATGATAGACTACATTTTTAATAATTCATTTTCTACGTAACACCCGTCCAGTTGTGTATCATCGCCATAAGGTCAAAGTTTTTCCTTATTTTGTGTCATATACGCTAGTATATTGGCAACAACAACTTATCTACGTTATAGATTTTGACGGTTCAAATGGATTTTCAATTGAATGCGAACTTCAAACATGAAGTACACGTACTTTTCTAATAAAAGTGTGCTAAGAATTTCTCACATTTATAATTGAATCGCTGGTTTTCGAATCGATTTGATAATGTAAATGTTGTGCTTGTAAATTGAAAATATTTGTTTCACTTTTCCATGATTTTATCGACCGGTCAATTTTATGCATTTGTTTGGCAACTCCCTCCCTCTCTTCCTCTCCATCTCTTTCCCAGCGTCTTTCATTCTCCTTATTCCCCTCTCTTTCTCTGTAATTTTCCCTCTAGCTCCTTCTGTCTATTTCCCTTTAGCTAGAATTGCACGCTATTAAGTGTAATCAAAACTCCATTACTAAAACCATAAATGGATCGATGAGCTTCAAAGTAGTTCATGTTTTTTTATCAACTCTTTTAGCAAACTGTATCTTTAGGAAAAAATCAAATTGTAAAAGTAAATTATTCCAATTATTTGCATCTACTAATTTAAATCAAGTTTAAAACCAATTTGCTAGTCTTTTTTTAAATGCTAAAATGCCGTTTAAAACATGCCAACTCATAATCCATTTTCATTCTCATCGATAGAAATAATTGAAGCATGTAAATCAGAAAGCCAGAAAATAAAATGCAAAGTATGTGCGACGCAAATGAGCAACGAATAATAACAAATTGTTAAATATGGATATTTAAGTCAAATCAAAGCTGTGAAACACTGGCTGTGTGCATGTGACTTATTGACAGATAACATTTTATTATGGTGTGATTGACTTTTCAGACTTGAAACATTGATAGCAAATAAGCAAATCAATTCTTTTGTTTCATTTGATTTCTATTTACAGTACAACTGTGTGGACACCAGCTTCTTCTCTCGAAATGTTATGCATCCGTTTTGGAACTACTTGGTGCAAGTAAAGGGCAATCGCATGTTATTATCGTATGAGAATTGAATTAAAAAAAAAAATATTTAATTTTCTTTTTGCAGTTTTTTCCGCGATGGATTGCACCCAATCTAATAACATTCACCGGTTTTCTTCTGACGATAGTAAATTTTTTATTAATCGGATACTATGATTTTCATTTCAAAGCTGCAAATGATCCGAGAAACAGTACGATACCAAACTGGGTATGCATACTTCTTTTCATCGATCTCTGGATGTTTTTTTATTTGTTTTCAATTTGAATTAGGTTTGGATTGTGGCAGCTATTAATATTTTTGTTGCATATACATTAGGTAATTTGGTTTGATCAGAACGATAATTTGGTTTGTTTTAAAATGGAACTTTATCTTAATTGCCAACAGATGGTATTGATGGAAAACAGGCTCGTCGGACTGGAACGAGTGGCCCATTAGGTGAATTGTTGAAATATTGTTATAATAAATATTATACTAATTTATTATTGTATTTATAGGCGAATTGTTTGACCATGGCGTCGATTCGTACTCAGCAGCTCTAATTCCCATTTATATGTTTAGCATTTTTGGAACCGAACAGATCTCGCCACTTCGAATGCACTTTGTCATTTGGAATGTATTCTTGAATTTCTATTTGACACATTTTGAAAAATATAATACTGCTGTACTTTATCTGCCATGGGCCTATGACTTCACTATGTGGGTACGGAAAACATTTCATTTTACAAATTTATTCATCGGTTCTAAAGATCACTGATTTTTTTTTAGGGAGTAACAGTCATGCTTTTGATAACAGGCGTATTTGGTCTTGAAATGTGGGACTTCAAGTTGCTTGGTTTATATAGTCCGGCATTTGTATTTGAAATGATACTATATATCAGTGGATTAGTTACTAGCCATCCATTTATTATCTATCGCATTATCATGTAAGTGACCGAATTGAAATTTTTTTAATTGGTTTTAGCTTCAAAGAATAAATTCGATGTTATCTGTGATTTAAAAAAAAAATAACTTTGTTTATAGGTCATACAGGAAACGAACCGGAAAAATGCGACCATTTATTGAAGCAGTTCGACCATTATTCCCGTTTTTAACACTATTTGCAATCACAACAATTTGGGTGCTGGGCTCACAAAATGACATCCTATCAAAAGAACCAAGAATGCTTTTCCTTCTATTTGGAACAGTCTTCTCCAACATAAGCGTAATTGAGCCGCTGACTTGAAGTGAAAACCGACAAATTTGCTGAAATAAGAATATTTCTTTGTATGTTCTAGTGCCGACTCATTGTTGCCCAAATGTCCGATACCAGAGCAGATGGATGGAATCATTTAATGTGCCTGCTGATTATTGTTGGTGGTGTATCGATTACTCCATTATTCAATCTTTTCAACTTCTCAAATCTTCATCCAAACATTGAGAGCATTTTAGTATATTTCTTGGCCATATTTGCCACAATTACACAGATTCATTTTGGATACGGAGTCGTAAGTGCCACTTTGACTGAATTAAAAAACATTTTGTTAAGAAATAAGGTGTTTTCAAAGTATCATATATGCCGTTTTACAGTTACATAAAACGTATGTTTTCCAAAATGAATGTTCTTCGTACATGAAAGTCTTTGTTTAAATAAAGCAAAATTGTTCCATTTATATATTTATGAATGCTAAAGGCTTCTTCAAAATGATTTTGTATTTAAAATCGTACCATTTCTAAATGAATACAAACAACATTCACACGAGCGAGTAAGAAGCAAGACCTTTTCGTCGCCTTGCACTGTGGCACCCAAACTCGTTAAGTGCTACCATAAAAATACGTACTTTGATATCAAAGTTGTGTACTAAAGTTGAATTGGATATTTATTAACGATACAAAATTTGGCGAAAGTGTTTCCATGCCAAATATTTGTGTAATTATCTAAGTCATTATCAGAGCTTTCATTATCCAGTAAAAATCATTTTATCAGCCATATTCGAAATAAAATTTATTTTATCGCGTGTATTGTTTCATAATCTAAAATGTATTCTTGTTATCTATGCCAAATTCAAAAATTTCTCAGATTCACTTAAAATTGTCTTGTTTGAAGGAATTTTGACCAGAATGCAATCCAATGAATATTATGATATATGTGTACCATTTGAAATCTTACATTGGAAAGCATACGCCATTACCGTCACTGTATTCCAATGCATGTATGCTTATTTGAAAGTGAAATATTTTAATGAATTTTCTTACAGGTTCGCGAGATGTGCGATCACTTCAAAATCCATTGCTTCAAAGTAAGATCAAGAACATACGGGAAACAAATGCATGACAAAAACAACTAACAAGCATGCCTTTTCTTCTCAAATAATTAAGTGCATGTACAGTTTAGTGCTTAAATTAACACAAAAGTATTATCATCATTGATATTGAAATCAGTATATAGTGTAAATTACATATATATGTATTGTAAATTAGTATTAAGCGATAAAATGTGTTTTATTAAAGCATAGTGTGTCAAACAAACGGGGGGAACAAATTGAACGGCCAAAAGGTTTGGCGTGTTTGATTGTGTTATAAATATTTATTCAATTACTATTATAGATCTAAACGTTGTGACGACAATACCTTCACTCATCGTGATATGTGATTTTGTTCGTGTGAAGTTTGCATGTAATCATGATGAAAAAAACACGGGGATCAGTTAGATTTTCTTCTTTTTTTATTTGTTAAAATTTGATTGTTTTTGATTTTCATTTTCAGATACCACCACAGCCATCTCAAACAATTAATATCTAAGTTATTTAATTTAATAAATCAAACTGAACGAATGTAATGGATAAATTTGATTAGTAAATCGATACAATAAATAAATGAGCAAATCTCTATTTTCACTGAGGAAGGAATTGAAATGTAGTTTTTGTGTTTTTTTTATAGCTTAAGCTTTCGCAAATTAATTGTATATATTGAACAATTTTCGTTGTATTTTATGCATGTTACGACTTTCGTTTCTGACAAGCCAAAAGAGCTCTATAATAAGTTCGCTGCTTAATAAATATTATCCAAACAAGAGTTTTCATATAAAATGAAATTTTTATCCATCAACCAAATTCGCACAAAATCTAATGATTTCTATTCATCGCAACCCCCTCGCAATCATCCTGTAAAATCAGATTTTATATAACTTTTCTGTGGAGTTCAATTACAATATTTCATCAAAGTTTTGAATTAAGTTGAAACCAATGCAAACTTTATTATTTAATATTTTTTCTTCTACAATGTTATGTTTGCTTTAGTATTAATCAGAGCCACCATGGATTAATCATATTTAATGATGTATCTGAGTGTTTTGCGAGTTATACAAAGCGAATTATTACTCTCGTCTGTTTTGAAACCTCCATATTTTTGAGCAATACTTTTAAAACTAAAAAGTAAATGAACTATTTAGTACAGATCAACTAGAAATACTATTTTATTTTCTTACCTCATGTGGCCATCCTGCTCATATCCAACGTTATAAGCTGCAATAATTTCTTCATCACTTGTAAAATAGGCGGATGTTGCTTCAATACCATTGAGCACACAAATAGCTTCTCTGAATTGTAGCATTTTCTGAAGATTTTCCGGCGTACGGTAATCTTCGTGAACCCAAAAAACAGCACTGTTCAAAAATCTACCCACTCCATACTTGTCAGTCATATTAAAAGATAATTCTGAGTCAGACAATATATTGTAGTACAAGCTCAATTCTGGAGAAATCTAAAATTAAACAAAACTCAAATTAAAAAAAAATCTCCGAAAAATTCGGCATTTTTCATACACGGGCCGGAATTGAAGTCATGGATCCATCATCTACATAAAGAATATTCAAACCAATCATGTTACCATTTTCTACCCATATAAACGATTTGTTTTCTGCTATATATGAAATCCATTTTTCCCGAAAATAATCACGAGATTCACCATTGGTGGAAATACCTTTAATATGTTTAAAATATTTTTTTATTATGACATATGTCCATTTGGAATTGAATAATGTGTTAGATAGACATAAAGGAGTACATGCCCGTTCGGATAAACAAAGGATCTTCATTTAGAGTAACACTCAGTAGCGTTGTTATAGGTAGAAAGTCATCAGTCGTCAATAGTCTAATGCCAAGAGAACCAAATTTTGCATACATTTTAACTGAAAATGACAAATTCTTTTTAAAAAACTAAAAGGGGTAAAGTTTATCGGAAATATCATTTCGCTCAA